GCACGGATCGACTACGGAACTGTGGAGATTCCTGGTTACGAGTGGGTCGACGGGGAGGTCGGCATTTATCTTTCGAAGTTGTCTGACTAGGGGCTATTAGACACATTTGTCTCTTTGGAGAATTGTTTCGGGAGTGGGGAGGATCAGTTTCCCCTACTTGCCGAGGCATGCATGGACGACGGGCCGGAGTCTGACTTCGTGTTTTTGGAGTCGGGGGACGATGAGGACGATTACTTCTACGCCTACATGTGCTAGTTTGAAGACCTCGATGTTCAACTACCCTTTGACGATTTTCAAATGGGGGTTCTCCGAGTAAAAACTAAATGAAAAGTTTTACTGCATTAACAGAAACTACCATCTTCTGGACATTATGTGTAGAAAAATATAGGGTTTAGAACTTGAAAGTGAAACAATACATTTTGAAAACTTTTTCAAGCATTGCTTTAAAATTCTTGCTGCAAAACAACCAACAGAAATTGGGAAACCTTAAGACACACGGAACTTTACATCAGTGTGGTACCCTTTCTCCCACAATTGAATTATTAAGTTAGTCTGTAGAAGTGTGGAAGAAAAGCAACTTTTTTTTTCTTTCTTGGGTTGCTTCATACCCTAGCTATAGTTTTCAACCCTTTTAAAAAGAAATCACAAGGCCTATATGAAAACAGACCAAGTTCCCCATACTTGCATATAAAAGCATCAAGGGGAATTTCTAGAGTTACTTTTTTGTCATCACAATCCAGACACACACTTTCTCTAGGGAGTTTTACTGGAAATTTGTCCTAGCTTGTTTTGCTTAATTGTAGGACCCTTGGTGTCCTATTAAGTGTAGAGCCACACTCATGTTACTGTGAAGTTGAAACAACATAGAGATAAAATGAGGTGGCCTTTTTTTCAACATTCTAAGCTTGCTCTTTCCAAAGTTAGGATCATTTGATTTATTTATTTTTAATCCATCGAAATTACATACAATTGTTTGATTTAAAAAATATATTTCCCGTTTTAATTTAATTTTCAAAAAATGCTACAGTATTTTCATGAGAAAATAGTATGTGTATTGATAGTTCAGAAAAATATTATACGATTAACTACATAATAAATTTGTTTTTACAACAACTGTTTTAACAGACACAAGAATCTCAACTAACATTTTGTTAACACTGTAAAAACTTTTCTATTAACAGTATATAGAAATTAATCTCTATTTTCATTCTTTTTTTTTTTTTTTTTTTTTTTTTTTTTTTTTTAAATAAAGTTTGTACAACAAAACTGCATCAGGATGGGCCTAGGGAGGTCCAGAATATCCTAAAGTCAAAGTGGCTAAATGACTGTATAAGATCGAGTTAAAATATCACAACATTGTATTTATCTTTCAATGTTATTTTATTTTAATTTCTATAAATTATGATAATGATACCCATAAGATATTCTTTAATAATAAATTGGCTATAAAATTGTATCCCCTAATCTACGAAGGCATAATGAAAAATATCAGTTTTATTTTTTTCCCTTTAGCACTTCGATGGTAAATTTCTTAACATAGTAGTAGTCGTAATAATTTCTGTCTATCACACTGAAATTAAAAAAAAACAAATAAAAGTTATTTCTATGGATTCCTACACAAACTTTTGCTTTCCTGGAAATGTAAACCAAGTGAAATTGAGGGCTTAAGTAGTTATTAAAAGGGATGGAAGAGATAAAAGTGAAAACAACAACAACAAAGCATTCTAAAATGGACAAAGCTTCTTACATATGAGATGTGCATATATATATATATGCTTACACTATGTGACCCAAATCATAGTGTAAGTCTACAAAAAAAAAAAAAGTGGATCGAACGTAATTAGTTGTGGAAATTATGTAGATGTGAGGTAATGCGAGTGTAATTGTGCATGTAGAATTATTCTTCTAAAATTGGAGTAAAATCATCTTAAACATTTCATAATATGAAAATGTAATCAGATCCCATGTGAATTCATAATATTTTAACAACATTCCGTCATTTCGAAACTCTAAAATAAAAGACCATCATAAACTATGTTCATTACTGATCATATGAACAGTTTTGTTAGAATATTATTCAATTATTTTATGCCTATGTCTATTCTGCATCAAGGGATATGGCCAGAGTCTCCAAGTTTCAGAGACGAGGGTATAGGAGAGATTCCTTCAAAATGGAAAGGAGTTTGCATGGAGGGTCATGATTTCAAGAAATCCAATTGCAATAGGTATCATCCATTGTTTCACAAACGTTTTTAATAAAAAAATGCTCATATCTATTTTTAAAATCTTGGATAAAATATGATTTTAGTCTCTCCAAAATATCTCAAGTTTGGTTTTAGTCCCTCAAAATTTTTTTGTTCTATTTTGATCCTCTAATTTAAAAATGTATCACTGTTGGTTTTCAAAATGGTTTAGATAGCGCTTTATAATCCTTTTTAGGCGCTATCTAAACTACTCAGTATCAAAAGTTATGCAAATTGATCAAATGCTACATTAAAATTCTCTTAATAAAACTGCAGAAAGTTGATAGGTGCAAGATACTATAATATTCAAGTTACATCAGGTGGAAACCAGACTCATATAGAAGCAACCAAGGGTTCCCCAAGAGATTCTGTTGGACATGGAACTCACACTGCATCAATAGCAGCTGGTGTTCATGTCAACAATGCTAGTTATTTTGGTTTAGCACAAGGAACAGCAAGAGGTGGTTCACCTTCTACTAGGATTGCAGCCTATAAAACATGCTCAGAAGAAGGTTGCTCTGGTGCCACCATACTAAAAGCTATTGATGATGCTGTAAACGATGGAGTAGATATAATCTCAATTTCTATTGGACTTAGCTCACTGTTCCAATCAGACTTTTTGAGTGACCCTATAGCCATTGGAGCATTTCATGCAGAACAAAAGGGGGTCATGGTGGTGTGTTCAGCTGGCAATGATGGTCCTGATCCTTTCACAGTTGTGAACACTGCACCATGGATATTTACAGTTGCAGCTTCTAATATTGATAGGAACTTCCAATCCACTATTGTCCTTGGAAATGGGAAATATTTCCAAGTATGTTTCTTGATCTCTTCTTCCTAGCCAAAAGAAGAATGCAGATTTCTTGACATGATTTCTTTTTCATGCACCCCAAAGCTTAATTTTTTCCCCCTTTATGTTGTCAGGGTGCAGGCATTAACTTTTCTAACCTTACTCGTTCGAAGATGTATAATCTTGTCTACGGAGAGCAAGTAGCTGCCAAATTTACCCCTGCATCAGAAGCTTGGTACCTAATTGTGATCATTCTTAACATATTATTGTCATCCTCTTGATCCTAGAATAACATATGATTTTATGCCTTCTAATTTTGATGGTGATTTTATGTTGCAAGATCTTATGAAAAAGAATGCATTAGGCCAATTCAAATGAGATGCATTGAAATTTATCATCGATCTTACCAGTTGTATATATTACTAGTACATTATACCAGTAGGTAATGGCATTTATGCAAGCAACACAAATTGGGATTGTGCATATTTTATAGTATCACTAATAGTAGTAAAATGTAGCTGTTAGGAATTGAAAATTCTACGTTAAAAAGGTATGCTAATTGTTCTCTGGAATGCAGGAACTGTTATCCTGGATCACTAGATAACAACAAAGTTGCAGGCAACATTGTTGTTTGTGTTAACGATGATCCAACTGTTTCAAGGCGAATCAAGAAGCTAGTTGTACAGGATGCAGGAGCCATAGGGATAATTATCATAAATGAGGAAAACAAAGATGTTCCCTTTGATGCAGGTGTATTTCCCTTCACAGAGGTTGGCAATCTTGAAGGGCATCAGATCCTAGAATACATAAACTCTACCAAGTAATCATTAACAACCTTCACATTCATTGATTAGTTATTTAAAGTAGATTTTCCCATGTTCTGTGTGTGATCAAAATGGCAGATAGTATTGTGCGTTCAGTCAAATGATGATAGCAAATGTAGAATGCATGTTAAGTTGTGGTTTTCTGAACAACTTTCATAGAAGAACAAATAATTTTTTGATAACCATATTATTAGTACAAAGTATTCACCAATTTTGTCAATAATTAATCTCTGTCAAGAAACCTGATTAACTACTTTTAGTGAACAGATAATAATTAAACACAGTTATGTTCATGTTGAATGTAGAAGTTGAAAAATAATATGCTAGCTGTATGCTCAGTCTATCATGCCTCCATTACAGGAATCCAACTGCAACAATTCTTCCAACAACAGAAATTAATAGAAATAAGCCTTCTCCAAGTGTTGCATCTTTCTCATCCAGAGGTCCTTCAAGCCTTACAGAAAACATTCTCAAGGTATTATTCTGTTATCTGTTCTTACATGGAATTTTCTTTTCATCCATGAACTCGGATTGCATAAGCATCTTAAGAACAATGAACTCATTGTTTCTTACACATTTTGGCAAATTCGTTGTCCAGCCAGATATCATGGCTCCAGGAATTGGCATTCTGGCCGCTGTCATTCCTAAAAGTCAAGACCCAGGAAGTGTTCCAATTGGGAAAAAGCCATCCTTATATGCCATAAAATCTGGTACATCTATGGCATGCCCACATGTGACAGGTGCAGCAGCATTCATTAAATCAGTGCACAAAAATTGGAGTCCTTCAATGATCAAATCAGCATTGATGACAACAGGTTCTGAACCAAAAGTCCTTTTTCTAGTCTTTTAAAGATAGGAAAATGCTACACGGCACTAGACACCAGTTAAAGAATTAAAACCAGAACGTTTTTATTGAAAAATATCTGCACATTCTCCCATCTAATTTTATTGCAGTTTTCAATGAATATTTTTTTTTATATTGATTCCTTAACCGATGTCCTTAGAACACCGATTAACAAGATAGGAAAAAGGCTAACCAGTATCCTTAGGGCATTGATTAAGGAATCAAAAGTAGAAATTTTTTATTGAAATGTGTAACAGCACATTCTCCAGTGTAATTTTATCGCAGTTTTCCATGAAAACTTTTTGCATATTGATTTCTTAACTAGTGGCAAGACCCTTAAGGATATTTGTAATTGAAGGAGATAAATGATACTTATGGTACTCTATTTCTCTTCCATTCTTCAGCTACAAACTACAACAACTTGAGGAAGCCTGTTACTAACAGCTCAAACTTCTTTGCCAACCTGCATGAAATGGGAGCTGGGGAAATTAATCCACTCAGAGCTCTCAACCCTGGCTTAGTCTTTGAAACAGATGTGGAAGACTATCTCACATTCCTTTGTTACTTTGGCTATTCACAGAAAAACATAAGATCAATGTCCAAGGCTAACTACAATTGCCCAAAGAACTCTTCTGAAGACCTTATACCAACCATCAATTACCCATCAATATCCATAAGTACTCTCAAAAGACAACAGAAAGCAAAAGTAATCACGAGAACAGTTACCAATGTTGGATCCCTTAATGCCACATACACTGCAAAAGTGCGTGCACCTGAGGGATTGGTTGTGGAGGTCATCCCCAATAAACTTGTGTTTTCTGAGGGTGTTCAAAGAATAACCTACAAAGTCTCATTCTATGGCAAGGAGGCCCGTGGTGGATACAATTTTGGGTCCCTAACATGGCTTGATGGTCACCATTATGTTCATACAGTGTTTTCAGTCAAGGTTGAATAAATCTGCACACACATACAAATATTTAAACAGGTCACAGAATATGTACCTACATGATTGTGACATTCTTTTGCCTAACTTTATATTGTATACAAGAATGAGCTCCATATGAGATTTTTCCATCTGTCATAATAAAATATGTTAAAGTCTCTACAGTTTTATATTTTGTTTGTAAGCCCAATTAAATATTGTTTATGTTCAGAAAAAGCAAAGTTATAGTTGCAGGCAAATGATCCTTGCCTTTTATCTTAATCATTAGCCTTTTTTGCTTTGCCCAATGAGGGGATGCATATCTTTTGTATTTAATCTTTTGATGTAACACTTTTGATGTATGTAAAAATTGAGTTGATAAATCAAATATATCATATGAGTTTCTCTGCTTTGCTTCCTTTTGTATTTGTTAAGTTGCAAATTTTATAATTTTAGACTATTATATTTTTTTGTTTAGTCTTATACCTTGTTTTTTATGTTTTGTTTTTGACATGATATTAAGAGCTTTATTGATTTTTAAGGATATGTGGGATAAAAAAAATCCAGATATTGTGATAGAGTGAAAACACAAAAAACAAGTGAGAGAAAATAAAATAAGAACTTGTTCCTGTTTTAGGATACACACTTCAATTATTTTCGTTGTGACGGGTCGGATCTTTGGCCTTAGTTTTCTTGTTTCAATCCGGGTAGTCCGAAGGAGGAAAAGGGGGGTGTGCCTGCAAAGACACTCCGACGCTCAAGTTAGTGCTCGGCGTAATAAATGCGGTAGTTCAGAATTAATTACATACCTCGTTGGGGTCCTATTTATAGTAGTTCTTATTGGGCTGCAATTAGGGACTGGGCCCCGGAAAATTAGGGGTCTAATCCTGTGCATTATGTTAATTAATCTCTCCGTAACCATCTAGATGATGTCGACATACTCGGCCGACTCCGCCGACCCGTTTCACCTCATGTAGGGGTGGTCGGCGGGTTCGGGTACTCGGCATAAGCAACGATCTCGGGTATTCGGGCATTTCGGCCACCATACGGTATACAATCCCCGCAGCGTCAAGGATGAGAAAAGACGAAGACGGTACAGAAAGATGGTGACATGGTATTCGTTGTCGAGGAATAAGGGTCGGTATAGGCGTATCTCGATGCCGTCTTGATGATGCTTGGGCCGACCTTGACCATGAGCTTTAGCCGAGGTCTTTTGCGGGCGATGTCTAGGCCGAGACCTCAGGCGGTCCAGGCCGAGACCTTGGCCATGTGAGGTCAGGCCGAGGGCTTGGACGTGAGATCCTGCGCTGGGGCTTTGAATCTTGATGACTTAGACCGAGGCCTCGGCAAGTGTGACTTGCCACGTTGGCCCTAGCGGTTACGGGCCCAACGGTTACTAAATCTGGGCCGTTGGATGATGTAGATCGAACGGTTGTGGCCCGGGGGCGTCTTTTCACCTCCCCTGATTTACCTTGCCTATAAATAGGGGTGTTGATGTGAAAATTTACGCGCTGTAAATTTTCCGAGCTCTCCCAAGATCATATTCTTCCGAACAACCCGAGCAAGGTAAAATTTTGTATTCTTTAATTTTAGCAATAAATGGATAAAGGTTACGATTCGGCTAGGAGTTGGACGTCTTCGGAAGCGTCGGGCGCTTCATCAGACAAAGAGGGGTCGACTTCAAGTGAAATATCGAGGTTACCCCCGCTGCAATGCGAAGTTGTCTTCCCTTCCGATCGCACCGAACAAGAGGATAGCGGGGATGAGGTGGTCGAAGTATCGCCTCCGACAACATTGGCCCTGGCCTTGGCACGGGCAACCGAGGTGGATGACCGAGGTCTAGGTCGAGTCGGTCAACCGCACCCGCAAGCGTTGCAAGTTGATGTGAGCGGGGACGAACTGGAAGTGGTCGGCGATGCACGAGGCAAGAGAGCTGTTGGACCGAGTACTCGGGTAAGAGCACGGATCGACTACGGAACTGTGGAGATTCCTGGTTACGAGTGGGTCGACGGGGAGGTCGGCATTTATCTTTCGAAGTTGTCTGACTAGGGGCTATTAGACACATTTGTCTCTTTGGAGAATTGTTTCGGGAGTGGGGAGGATCAGTTTCCCCTACTTGCCGAGGCATGCATGGACGACGGGCCGGAGTCTGACTTCGTGTTTTTGGAGTCGGGGGACGATGAGGACGATTACTTCTACGCCTACATGTGCTAGTTTGAAGACCTCGATGTTCAACTACCCTTTGACGATTTTCAAATGGGGGTTCTCCGAGTGCTCAATGTGGCACCGACTCAATTGCACCCGAATGCCTGGGCCGCGATGCAGGCGTTTTGGAATTTATGCTTGTGTTTGGGTCTGACTCCCCGACCCCTGGCTTTCCTTTACTATTATACCAGTCGCCCGAGTAAACCGGCAAAGTGGGTGTCATTGTCTCGGGTGCCGAAGCGAGGATTTCTCCGAGCCTTCACTTCTTCCTACAAAGGGTTTAAAGATGGGTTCTTCAAGGTTCGCTGGGGGTCGGAGATGAAGAATTGCTTTTATGACCGAGAAGGCGAACCGCTATTTCCCTTTTATTGGACGAAGCGCCCGACGCGTTACGAAGCGATGTCGGCGTCTAAACTCCCTGCCGAGGACAAGGAGATCGTGGACTTGTTAGATCAGCTACCGAAAGGCTTGCCTGTCTGAGGCCTTTTGGACATTTTTGAAACGTCTCATTTTGAGACGGCCTTGCTAGGTATGCGTTCTAGGATTCGGTTACTTAATCAGTTTAAATTGATGTTAAGATTTACTTCGTTGCAGGTTTAATGGCCGGAGGTAAACTAGACGTGACCGCCATGCTCGCGAAAAGGGCGAAGGATGCAAAGGCTAGTGGGCAGGTTCCCCCGGCGCGGTCGGCTCTGAAGATGGCTCGGGATAAGCCTTCCCATGTGTTGATTCCTGCCGCCGACCCCAAAAAGAAAGGAAGCACCTCCCGAGTGAGGGCGGCCGAGCACAATATAGAGCTGGAGAGGCCGAGCTCTTCGACCAAGCGGGCCAAGCAGCTGTCTCTGGAGCAATCGGGTTGCGGCAACTTCGCTATCCCAGCTGTTGTCGCCGGCTCCAACTTCCTTGCCCCGAACGTGCAGACCGAAAATTTGGTCGGTTTGGATCTTGCTACTGGGGGTGGACTGCAATACTTGGAGGGCATGTCTGCCGAGGCCGCATATAAGCTGTTTTGCGAACTCGATACTCGGACCTCCCTTGTTGCGAAGCATGTCATGAACAGGCATGCCGTGTCCGAGGAAAGGATCCATGGCCGACTCAAGGAGGCCGAGGCCACAGTGAAAGAGGCGTTGGCTGCGAACGCCAAGTTAACTGAGTCGGCTGAAGAATTAAAAAGGCTTGCCGACGCCCACCGAAGGGAGGCCGACGACTTGAAGTTGGCCGTACAAAGAATGAAGGCCGACGCTGTCGCTTCGACGAACGAGATTGCTCGGTTGAAAGAGGCGGCGTCAAAGTTCGAAGCCGAAGCTACCGAGCAGATACTTGAGCAACATGATGCCGGCTTCCGGCATGAGGTCAGGCAGACTTATCACTTTTGCGAGGTTCCGGCTGACTTTCAGTTCGATGTTGGCCAGGACTTTTTAGGCGGCAAGTTTATGAGCTATTCTGAATTCCCCCAAGGGGCTCAACCCGATGCCGAGGCCCCTCGTCACGGTATTTCCATCCAAGCTCCCTTGCAACCAGCTGAGGATGAAGATCCGATCATTGACGTGGTTGGCGAAGGCGACGGAGGTAATCCTGGAAGCTCGGCAGCTACTTAAGGGATCGACCCGTTGACAGTTTAGGATTACCTATTTTTTGTAACCGGGCCGTAAGTGCCTTTTGTCATTTTTGGCCATCGGTGCCGGTAGACTTTAAATTTTTTGTAAGTAGCCGTTTTGGTCGGCCATACTCTTATTTCTATAAGATACTGATTTTTTGCATGTTTATAGTGCCTAGTAATGTAGACATAATCCGACCTGTATGGGTGACCAAGTGGACGTATATCACGATTAGTGATGATTAGTGCATATTTCGTGTTTAACCGGGTGTATTGTTTTGGTGAATGTTCGGTTGCAATTACGTGTTTTGATCGATTACTCGAGATTTACTTTGGATGCGGTGTGTTCGGAGTGTTTGGCATAGGGCACGAGTGTTTTTCGTATGATTAAACGAGGATTGGTCGGGCTCGGTACGGATCGCGCGTAGTGCTCGACCTGGGGAACGAGTGCACTTTCCGTAATCGACCGGATATTGGTTGGCGTCGTCGCGGTCGTGCGTGGTGCTTGGCTTAGGCGCATCCTTGAATGTTGACCGAGTATTGCCCGGCTCCGTCGTGGTTGGGGATAGTGCTCGGCCTAGGTACATCCTTAACCGAGGAAGGTACTCGGGAGGGAAACCTGTTGGGCACGAGTTCACTTTGTTGTCGTAGGCCGAGTATTGCTCGGCCTCATCGTGATTGGGGATAGTGCTCGGCCTAGGTACGTCCTTAGCCGAGGAGGGTACTCGGGAGGGAAACCTGTTGGGCACGAGTTCACTTTGTTGTCGTAGGCCGAGTATTGCTCGGCCTCATCGTGATTGGGGATAGTGCTCGGCCTAGGTACGTCCTTAGCCGAGGAGGGTACTCGGGAGGGAAACCTGCTGGGCACGAGTTCACTTTGTTATCGTCGGCCGAGTATTGCTCGGACTCGTCGTGGTTGGGGATAGTGCTCG